AGTTTGTAGGTTATTTTGCATGTTGAAATGGAGCAAATAGGGAAAATGTATTTGAATGTGGAAACATTTACATGTGTACTTTGAAACCCAAATATATAGTCAATACCCAGCATTTTGCATTTAACCAAATAAATGAAAGCATAAGACACTGAGTTTGTGGAACAACTTTGGATCACAGCCCTACATGATTCTCTGAAATTATTTCCAATGCAAACAAAACTTATTTAGAAATGAATGTGTGTTTCAACATACCTTTTTGGCCCCACACGAAACAAAACACAAAGCAATTAAAGAAATCAACAAAACAAAATCTTATCAACAAAAAAAGACAAAAGGTGTGTTCAAATAGCTCAATTTTTTTATTACTAAATGAGACAGGTAACCTGCGTGGTAGCCATTGTAAGAGCTGTTCCAATTCTCCAAATAATAAAGAAAGGAGTTTTGGTGCTTACTTTGTTGTATTTTTACAGTGATATCATTATACAGGTATTTGTAGTACTTTCTACAGCGGGCCTGTGAGGTCAAATGTACTGCAACTTAAGGAAGAACCAACAAATAGAAAAATGCTGCTTAAGCATATGCAGTGTTTGTCCTTTATTTTGACCTGTGTTAAACAACAGGGTAAAACCTTGTGTCTAAGAAGCACGTTTTGTAGTACACTGTAAAAAAAAATAGATTGTAGAATTTACGGTGAATTACTGGCAAGTGTGGTTGCCAGAATTTCACCGTGAAAAATAAATTGTAAATGTAGAACACAAAACGGTATCCTATTTTGGTAACCTCAAATTTCACATTAAATAATAATTATTTTTTTACATTAAATGACTGAATTTAAACGTAAATTCATGTGAAAACAACAGACATTCTGTTAACCTGATTACAATCTTACTTTGTTAAATATAGTGAAACTGTATAAAATAATACGGTATCATACCTAAAAAGTTGAATATTACGGTAAATTACTGGCAGCTGTGGTTGTCAGAATTTCACCGTGGAAAATATAGTGATAATGCAGAATACATAACGGTATACTTGTTGATAAATGTAAAATTCACAGTGAACTTTGGTTTTTGCACAATTATTACATTGAAATAAAAAACTAATATAAAGTAAACCAGTTAAAATACATTTTAATAAGCTTGTTTACCGTCTCCTATTGACAAAGGACAGAAGAGCTGTATAATACAAAACATGCCTTTTTATTCAAAAGTTTATATTTACACAAAATTATTGGCAGCTGTTGCAGCCAGAATGTCGTCTAAAAAAATTAAGGTCCAACAAATGAGGCAATAAACATAATAGGGCTAACTGGCATAAAACTTACATTCTTTGACTTTTTGTCATAATTTGCTAGAAACATAACTAAAAACCAGTAGAGACAACGATTCAATTAAACAGTTAACATCCATCCATCCATTTGCTTCCACTTATCCTTTTTCAGGGTCGCGGCGCTGGAGTCTATCATAAGGCGGGGTACACCTTGGACAGGTCGCCAGTCTGTCACAGGGCTAACACACAGGGACAGACAACCATTCACACTCACATTTACACCTAGTCTCTGTGGAGATGGGTTTTTTGGGGGGTAGCAGCAAGATAAAAAAGCATTCCGATTAGTAGGTGATCTGCTCTACCACCTCAGCTACAGCCACCTTGGCATTCTGGTTACCTTTTTCAGGCAGCACCCAAAGGACAAACAGCGTGTTAAATGTTATGTTGTAAGAGCTGTAACTTTACAGTGACACAAAACATAAGAGAAAATTAGCTTTATTTGGAATTTACCAGAAATCAGCAGCAAACAAATCAGAACAGAAAAACAGCTGAAAGATTCTAACTTTTATAGATTTTCATTGATAGATGATATGATAAATAATGAATTTTCAGACAATGACCAAATCACAACAGTACCCAAAACGGCATGTATTGAAACGAGGTGATCTATTTAGTTTGATTCTAGTGAAAACGTGCAATATGTAGTCAAAACATTACAATAAATTTTTTATTTTAGATTATCAAGAGCTTATTTCATATTGATACATGTTAAAGGAAGTAGTATCAGTTAGTCCAAATCACAAAAAATTCATTCAATATGTAATATTTTGATAAAATTTCATATCTAGTCTAAATCATATAGTTAAAATTTAAATCAAACAATGAAAAAAAAATCAAACAACATTATTTTTCTCATTCAAAACACCTATATTAAAATCTCTACTGTTGCACAAAAAAATTGATAACTGGATCTTTCACATATTCATTCATTCATTTCCTGGAGTTGCTCGACCAGCGCTGGGGACTTCCTTGTTTAGATCCTGTGTTTATAAATAAAGCTTATTAGTCACACCAAGAGTTATGAAATGCAATCTCAACTCGTGCTTACACTTGCATCATTTTACTTATTATGTAGTAATACCAATAGATAAAGTAATACCTTATAACCATTATCCTTGCACCAGTCTTTGAAGAATTCCTTGAATTCTTCTTCTTTCGTTTTTATATCTTCATCTTTTAGTTCTTTAGGATTCTTCCAGTAAACCCTAAGCATCTCATCAGAAAACCAGTCTGGGAGGACACTGAACACCTGACATCAGGGACAGCAGCATAAAAATTACATATTATACAGCCAACGTTGTCTTATTGAGGTGCATTAAAAAGAACACAGCATATGGAAATCAAGGCTGTAGTTCTCACATCTGATTTGGGGATTGGTTCTCCTTTATCAGGGCTATCCTTGCGATAGTAATATGCTTTACTGATGGGGTCAACATTTTCCATCCCATAGCCCAAAGTGACATCCTAAAATGAAATGTTGCAGAGAAGCCTGTATTCATAATATGTAAATAATGACCCAGTGGAGGTTTAAAACATATTTTAAATAAAATGAACAAAAAAAACAACAACAAGATTTTAAGAAAAGTTTGATGAATTAATAAAACTCACAATAACTTCAAACTCGTCATCAGGAAAGCGTGCACTCAGTTTATCTTCCAAATCCTTAATTTTCTGAAGGATGGAGGAGACAACAGTGTGTGTTATTATTATTGTTTCTTAATCTTGTTTAGTCTTGTTGAGCTGGATTTTTACAATAAATATTGATTTACAGCTTGGTGTTTTAGAGGATACATAGAAAATGAGTCTTGGAAGGTAGTATTGTATGACGTTCTAGTTCCCAGAGGGCTGTGTGATAAGGTAGTGTCAGAATAACACCACATGTACTGTCATCAACCTATAAGACTGATTTTGTATTGTTTTTTTCCCTTGCAGCAGCTTGGCTATAATTAACTTGTGAGTTTTCCTTTCAACAACACACTCGCCTAGCTTCACAAAAGGAAAATTATATTCCAAGTTTTGTTGATGAATCATGAAAGACTACAAGACTGTGTATGAGACAAGCCTGGGCATGTATGAAAGTAAGAGTCCACAGTACACTGGTATTTTTGAAAATAGAGATTTTCCATTTACTTAAAAAAAAAAAAAAAAAAAAATCCTGTCCACACATGCAGTTTTGAAAAAATATCTCTGTCCACATGTAAATGCAAAAAACAAAGTCAAATGCTGTCAAGAACATGCCAAATCCTAGCTGTGTAGAAATGTTGGCCAGTCTGTGTTGAATGTAGAAGCCATGTCCGAAGTTCACTCTAACACCTCTATCTTTCTAAATGGAGGGGCAGTATATGTAAGCGTGTAAAAACTGCAGTAAGTACGATTAACAGCAACAGTATCTTGTCTTTATCCACCATTGTTGAAATTAATCTCATGTCAACAATAACGTGGTGCAAAGCGTGACGTGTGGACGAAAGGCCCAAACGCATAGAAAAAGCTGCGTTTTCAAAAATACCCGTTTACACATGGATGTAGACTGATATGCTCTCAGAATCATTCTCCTTGGACACTAGACATAAGGGACAGCAGCATAAAAATGATATATTGCAAAGTCGAAGTTGTTTTATGGAGAAGCATAAAAGAAGAACACAGTGCATGGAAATGAGGGTTATAGTTCTCACCTCTGATTTTTCAGGCTCCTTCTTGTCATAAGAATATTTTTTAGTGATGGGCTTCTCATTTCCCATGGTATATGTCAAAGTGACATTCTAAAATGAAATGCAACAGAGACCCTGTGTTTATATTCATATGTAAATAATAAACCAGTAGAAGTTGGAAACATATTTTAAAGGAAATTAATTTAAATTTTTTTTAAAAAAAACAAGACTTGGTGAAGTTTGATGAATTAATAAAACCAACATTAACTTCATCTCTGTCTTTCCCGTCGTCCTGAATGTCGTTAACCAGGTTTTTTAACCTTTCCTTTATCTCCTGAAGGATGGAGGAGAGAACATCAGTGTTGTTACTGTTGTTTTAGCTAATCTTGTTTAAAGAGCTGTTCTCATTCTTGCTTTCTTACCTCTTCTGATTTTTTCTTGAACTGAAAAAGGAGAAAAGGAGGGCAAAGAAAAGGATTTATTCATTACTGAATACACACAGAAAGCACAATCACACGAAACCACGTTTAAAGATAATGTTTTTCTCAATTTCTCTATTTCACACAGGAGTTTTCACACCCACCACATTTGAGCTGTTCCAAAACATTCTTCAGAAAATATATATCTATAAATGTACAGCTTGGTGTTTTAGTACTTAAATGAAAACGACTCTTGGAAAGTTGTATTGTATGCTTTGTAAGTTCATGTTCTGAGTTTCCCTTTTAATACAGGCACATAAAAACATAACTGCATACCTTGGCTTGACCCACACAGCGGTACAGGTCCCGTTTCATGACCCTCTGTAGAATCTCCCTTGCCTTCTCCAAATCTGATTCTTTTTGCATTTCTTCCTTGGAGGAAGATTCCTTCCTTCCTTCCTGGTAATGGAGTATTCTTTCAAACACATGATCTTCAGAGTAAACACAGAAATAAATTGGAAGTTAAGTCAGTTCAAACAAGATCAATTTAGTTCAGTTTCACAAATGTATCAGTAAGGCCTTATAAAGTTATTTATACAAATTTATATCACAAAAAACCCAGCTGAATTATTATAGCAAACATTACTAAATATAATGTAACAGAGTAAAGCCCATCTGCAGACAACAGTAGTTTAAATCAATATACAGTTAAATTAATTTAAAAGTGTCAGTCAAAAGAAACAGTCCTATTTGAGTGTTGTCCGTAATCTTTTACAATTTGTATTTGGAGATGGTTTATCTGAAATAAACTGAATGAGAAAAATTAATACAGTTACAATAAAAAAAAGTGTATGGATAAACAATTTATAATTTATACACAACACAGATTGAAGCCACTACCTGTCAGCTTTGTGTATGCCTCCATGTCACCATTTGCCTGGGAGATATGAAACGTCCCCCCTTTTGAATTTTGAATTTTGAAGTCTGGATGGTCATCTACTAGTATTAGGGCATCTTTGAGCCTAGATAAAATGACGCAACATATGACTTCAGGGGCACAACTTCAGACAAGCTAAATGTTGTGTAGTATTGAAAATGGAACTCTAGGTACTCACATAATTTCTACTGCCATTTTTATCTTGTGCTGGCAGGCTCTTCTGTGGATCGAGAGCCTTTGCTGGAAGATGTCATACAGGTTTGCAGATTCCTGTTGACAGCCATAGTTTAGTTATAGCTACTCAGATTAATTTTTCCTTAAAAATAAATGTTAAAAAAACCGAAGTCAATACCTTGTCTCTAGAGCAAATGTGCTTAAATTTTTTCCTATCCTCCTCCACATCACACACCCTGGCAAACATGACGAAGCGCTGATGGTCAAAGCTGTTCGGAATGCCCAGGTGGTGGCAATCCCTGAGATGGGAGAGAGGAAATATGCAAATAAAAAAGAATTATTTTTTTTTAAAAAACCTAAAAAAAAAAAAACCTCATCAACTTATGGTAAACTCTTCAAAGAACCACGAAGTGTGCTACAAATAGTAAATCATAAAACTAACGAGTTGAAAGCAGAAAACAGTATAAAGTAGTTTTGCGGATTGCATCAAAATATGAATATTTCTTTTGTAAAGCAAGCTTTACCTGGCAAAGTAGTCAAACTTGTCAACATCAATCCCGGTTTTCTTGTTTGACACAATTTCATAGAGAAAGGATTTTTTCTCTTCTCGACCTTTATATGGCCACTGTGGAGACAAAGCCAAAAGACAAACATTAGACACTAAGACTGAAGAAGTCACTTGAATGAGTGATGAAACGTTCCTCCCACTGAAAACGCTACGCCCAGATGACCAGAATCAACTTTTTGGGATTTTCTTGGCTGAATGATTGAGCATGCATCAAGACATTAGACACTGACTTCTGTAGGAAAGACAATACTTAATTCACCCAACTGACCAGTACCTTCTTGGAAGCATCATTGTTCTGATGTTCATTATCCTGAGCTGCATCATTCTGAGGTTTTTTATCCTGAGGGTTCTCGATCATTTCTTCAATGAACACCAGGTCAGTTCCATCTTTATCTACTTTCAGTCCATATTCCCCCATCACTTTTTTTAAGTCATTTTTATCCAGTAGGTGTTTAAACATTTCAATAGAGGCCTTCTCATGCTGAAAGAATACACAGGTGGATGCTTTAGTGGCGACAGGTTAAAATGGAAAAAAAAGCAAGCATGCAAACCTTATTTTTATTGCACGTTTAAAAAACAGCATCAATTTGCTTTACAAAGCCAATGTACAATATCTGAATTAAAAGCAATACAAAATGAAAAAGCCAAAAACAAGCAAATGAAATAGCCCTTCATAAAATAAAATAACTTTACCAAGTGATCCCTTTCAGACATCATATCCCCTCATAGCCCTCTATTATTGTGGACAAGACGATCATACTAAATTTTGAAGTTAGTGCATAGATTTAGTATCTAAAGTACATTTAACATATATGTTACTTTATTCCTTTGTTAAGACAAGAGTGGTTGTTGGTTGATCAGCATTAATGACAATTTGCATATTAATGGCCATTGTTCATCAGTGGGCTAGTTTCAGTCATTATGCAAGTGTACTGTTTATAAAGTTGGGGACACCCACACTCAAACTGAAATTTTGAATTCTAGCATTAGAACACTTTTTTTTTCTTTTTTTTTAGTTTTTTGCTTTCCTCTTGCTTTTCTCATGTCTTACTGCTTAATCTTCATCATCCTTTGTCCACTATATCTACTATTCCTTCTCTCCACATTTCCAAACCATCTCAACCTTGCTTCCATTTGTCACTCGGGTTCAGTGGCCTCTGAAGCGATTACTGTCTAGAACACAGATCATCTGTTTTTATCTACCCATAAGTAGTTTGCACTCAAAACAACTACAAAAATACAGAGTTCTAACTAAAAAACAAACAAGATCTCCCAAGAACTGTTGCTGATGACCTTGTTGGTAATGTTTTAAGTGACCTATGCACTAAACCTACTACTACAATTATTACCAAGGGACTGAATGACACTGTATTAATTCAGAGTACGGTAGTCTGAATGCTGGTAAATTTTTCTTCAACTTAAGAAACTCAAGAGTCTGGGTGATTGTATCAGACCACAGTATCTTGTTTTATTTTTTGTTGTTTTATTTAATTTTTTGTTGCAATAACTGGACTACAAGAAGGACAGTGGTACATAGGGTTCAGAATTGATAAGAATTTAGTGATTCCGATTCCATTATTCCTTCTTGATTCTCAATTCTCATTTGCTCATTGTCACCAGCATCTCTAAGCAGCATACCAAAGACATTACATTCATGCAAATTAATTACATGCTGCGTGGTCAAATGTTTGTGAATGTTGGAGGTATTTCTCCTCTTTGTTGGGCTCAGTGTTGGGGTCATCAAATCTGCAATTGAGATTTTCAAAACTGCACATCATGTCTTTAGCATCTTATGTTCTTTTTAAAATGATTTATTTTAGTATTTTTAAAATTTTGGCATTGCTGTGTGTTATTGGTCATGGCTAAGAAAATACTGTTGAACTGAAGAAATGTACTTACTAAGTTTTTAAATTTAGCAGTACTACATGTGATTGAGGCAAACTTCTTTGGGTTTACAGTGTAGCTATAATTTTACATTTGACATATATTTACTCTGTATGGATTTCTCGTTGGGCCTGCTTGAGTTTTTGCAGTGAATAAAATAACAGCTTATAATGTGAATTTTTTGAGTAGTCAGTTGGACCAGAAATGCCACAATATAAATTCTAGTAATTTCCATTAACTGGTCAGTGATAAGAAAAGATTTGATTTGAGTTAAACCCAACAACAACCACCCTGCACCCTTAAGAGTATCCTTACACCACAAGGCCCAGACAAAGGTGTCTGAGATACCCTGAGAGTGAGCGTAGGTACTCTGATTTTATGTTTCAGTTCAGGATTTGACACAAATACAGACTAGACACCAAATAAAACCATGTCTTCCATAAATTATGATCAATTCAGTTTTGTTTGGCATCAAACCACAAGAGTCACCTCAAAGTGCTTTATATTGTAAGGTAAAAATACTACAATAATATAGAGAAAACCCCATCAACCACATGTCCCCCTATGAGCAAGCGCTTGGTGACAGTAGGAGGGGGGTGGGGGGAGGCTTTTTTTTATGCCTAGTGTGTCATATTTGATAGAAACAGTTTTTTGAGTTTTTGAGCCTTCTACCACCGTTAGTGTGATTTTTCTCTCTCTCTGAGAACACATTTTAAGTAATTAAAAAAAGACAGATGTAGGAAATACAATGGAAGTCACATCTAAAAATTGAAATGTACTTAATATATATATATTTTTTAATTGTCAAATGTATCAATAAACTCTCCATTTAAAAAAAATAAATTGAATTTTCTGGAAATAATATCATATTTAAGGTTTTAAGGGGTTGACGGGAAGTAATCGCTGGCAGAACGAGGCTCAGGGAAGGGCAGCCATTTGCTGCAACCAGTTTTGGCGTGAGGGCAGGAAGACAGGGCAAAAGAGAGCTAGAACCATTAATAGTAATGATTAAATGCAGATTGGTGTATTAACACATAGTGAGTGAAAAAAGTTCAGTGAAGAAGATATATTCTTCATTCATGGGAAGCCCCAGCAGCCTAGCTTTATTGCAGCAGATGCAGGGTCACCTAAACCAGCCCTAACTATAGAGCATATAGTTAGCATTTGATCAGATGACCCTGCATCCTCTCTTAATTTATAGACAGAGGGTGATTAAGGAAGAGAGACAGCTAGGAGAAACAAAATAAAGGTGCAGACAATCAAGACAATCACAGGGGAAGTAAAACTCAAAGCAAGGCAGAAGAGATACTATTACCTATCGATTTAACTATTATAATAAAACAAGAAATAACACAGAGAAAAGACACACACCAAAACAAGACACAAAAAGAACACCGGGGAGGCAGGAATAACAAAGTTGAGATAAAACAGACACTCACCATAATAATGGAAAAATACCAAAAGATTATTAACATACTAGAATAATAAAGGTAACAAACACAAATCTAATTATAATGAAACAAAAAAAATCTTAGCCTTAAAGACTGAAAAGCAGGAAAAAGCTAAATAGAAACTCAGACATGATTATATTAACCAAAGGATCAAAACTCCAAAATATTACAGAAACTAAGAACCATAGCACCGGGAAACATAGTTCTTCAAAGTTTAAAACCAGTTGCCTCTAAAGCTCAGATCGCTTTTTAATTTAATTATTTAAATTTGTATATATGTTCCAACTATTATTTCAAACTCTTACCGTCCATTCTTCATTGCCTGTGACTTCTTTGTCTGCGTTGCCTTTTTTGTTTCTTTTGATTGCATCCATAAACATCCCATCAAAAAAATGAGAAAAGGGCCCATGTCCTTTATATGACAAAATAAACATATGATATGTGATAACTTCTTAAATGTTGATTCTGTTAAACACATGGATTTTTTTTTCTGCTTTCATTTAAGACTTTAGAGTCCTAGCCACATCAGTGGTCAAAGTCAACATAGTACTTGACATGGGGATGGTTTCATTTTACTCTCATGTTTAATAACACCCTCTGATGGCTATCTGCAACATAATACTTATGATACAAAAAGTATGTGTATTACTTACCTAGGTCATGACAAAGACCGGCAATCTGCACACAGAGAACATCTTGGTCACTGATCAGTGATTCCTTCAACTCCGCTAACTTCTTCACATCCTCCTCCGGGTTCTTCAACTCCTCCAGTGACTTGATCTGCTCCAACTGCTTCACCTTCAGAGCTTTTGCAAGCTGACCTGCTAAATGTGCCACCCTTTACAGTAAAATGTAGGACACACACTTTTTAGAACGTTGGCTTAATTGTTTTCAGTTGGTACAGTACTACACTGCTAAAAATAGTAAAAAAAATCTGATGTCAAGTATATAAAGTTGATAAAGCAGTCTGTCCCTTGTTTTGGATTTTTATTATAATTAGGTGTAAATGTGTGAAAACCAGTGGACATACCCAATCGAGTGTTCAAAGCGATTGTGAGATGCTCCTGGATAAACAAAATAAACCCCCCCAAGTTGCTTGATGTTTCGTAGTCTCTGGAACTGAGGGGTGTCTATGATTTTGACAAGAAGTGGGTGCAACTCGATGTGGCCATGGATGGGATCATTAAACACCTTAGTGAATAAAAAGAACAGGGCATAACATTACAAGAAGACAAAAAAGAATTAGCCTTTTTCTAACTCTTACCCAAGAACACGTAGCAGGTCTCAGTCTTTTTATATTTAATTCAGTGCTTTTTAAACCGTGGTAAGTAAGCATTGAGGCTGATGCTAGGCTAATGTTCTTGTAGGATCATGCCTTCTACTGTGGCAATGGCAACTTGTTTAAATAAAATTCTTTCATTTAAAATAAACATTTTAAATAAAAGAATGTATTTTCCCATGAGGAAAAGGATATTTTATCCTTGTCCTTTGATACTGTATCAAATTAGAAAAATGGGTTTCATCAATTTATCAGTTATTGTAAGATGAAGATCGAGAGTCATGTTAAATCACCTTGCTTTCTTTGGTTTCACGTTGATTTTCCATAGTGTTGTAGATTGGAAGATGGATACTATCCCTAAAGAGTACATTAAAAAACATAAGAAAGCATAGCAGAAACATACTAAATTAACCGAGTAAACAATACAACTTCTTTTAACATGGACAAACTTACTCTATGCCAATTTTCTCCAACTGATCAGGAATTAGCTGACGAAGATCAGTGATGTTGTTTTCTGGGTACATAAGGAAAAGGTTATCAGTCCGGTGATCTATCAACTGTGACTATTAGACTATTATTATTAGCAATAATGGCAAGTTAAGAATGCTCTAAGATGTCAAGCCTTTAGGACGGGATAGTCCTTTCGTTTATCATTTATTTATTTATGTAGCACATTTAATTACAAGAGCAATGTTGATCAAAGTGCTGTACAAAAATACAGAATAACTAGTTAAATAACTTATAATATTAGTACCAAACATCAAATACCAAATAACTCTCATACTATATTAAAAGCCAGAGAATAAAAATGTGTGTTAAGATAAGATTTAAAAAGATTGACAGTAGGAGCTTGTCTGATGTGCAGGGGTAGATTATTTGACTTCCAGGCTTTAACTTCACCAAAACACTGAAGTAAGGGGGCAGAACAATTAGAAGTGTTAAAAGGGGCAAGCTTTTTATTCTCTAAAAAATAACTACCTGATATCATTCCCCTCTCTTAATTTGAATAGTACCCTGTTTTTACTTGCAATGTATGAAAATGTTTTGTTTCCATACTGATATTATTGAAAAAATTCTGAACTGCAACTCTATCAAAACAGTGATTTTGTAGTAGTATTTCCCCTAAGCACTAGTATGAAAATATACTTAAAGTGCCTAAAGTACTCATGTGTACTCAATATATTATACTTTCGAATAACTGAACAATTCTGACACTAACAAATAGATTTGTGTTACAATAGATGAAAAAATGATGTGGAATCAAAATGAATTCAATCTTAAGTAAATACTTTGGATTTCCTCGTAAAAATTAAGGGAGGAGAAAAAGAGAAATTATTAGTTCAACACATGCAGAAATTAGAACAATTAAATACTTGTATAAAGTAAAGATGCATTCAACAATAAGATGAAACCAAGTTTGTAAACAACAGAAACATTTTGCAGAATGTAATTTCCATTATACTCAATTTCTTCTTTATTTCTGCTTTCTTAATTACTCTTTACCAATAACACATTACAGACACATTGGCAATCATTTTCATACAATCATCTGTGATAATTGCAATTTAAAACCCGATTATCAAGAGACATGTTATGTATGTTTGTGTCAGTTACCTTGGCAATAGCAATGAATCTGACTTCAGTCTGCATGAAAAGGATGTCCTTGTTACTGATGATATGCACTTCAAGCTGTCCTCTTTATATAAAGAGATGTTTGGTGTTCAGTCTCCTCCCCCTGTGCTTTCTGTATTTCTATTTGTGTGTGTGTGTGTGTGTGTGTGTGTGTATCTATGGGTGTGGCGTTGGGATCACTGCTGCAATACCTGTGCAGAGGATTTAGTGAATCTATTTTCAGAAAGAGAATATTGTTTTCATAATTACTAATAATTTTCATAATTGTGTATTTGTAGCTCTAAACAATCGTGTTGTGTTTTATGATTCTCCTCCACCCTTTGCTCTTATCCTGTTTTTCTGTCTCTCTCTTTGTGGATGTGGCACTTTCACTCCTCTCGATTACCCAATTCCACATTGTTACATTACTACTGTGACACCTGTGTGTAGGATCATTATTTATTTTCAATCAAGTATTCATAATCCTGTTATTAGAAATAATTGTGAATGTATTAGAAAGGAAAATGGAAAACCTATGACCAAAAAAATGACATCAAACACCCGAGTCTCGGGACTAAAAAAAGGTTTGGAAAAGTGATAAAAGGCCTTAATTTTTCTTAATTTTTCAAAACTGCATCAGTGCACATTGGCTGGCTTACAAATCCAGTTGGGTTTATCATATTTCTACAGGCCTAGTATGAACATAATAAACAATCTTAAGAAAAGGCTTTTTGTACTTTTAAGTTTATTTTCCTCTAGTCTCAGCCCGCTCAGCTACTAGCCTCCCTCTTTCAGTATTCTGTAACCTTTTCTTAGCCTTTGAAAAAAACAAAAAACAATAGACAGTAGGCAATACGGCAAAAGTAACCAGTGATCTGTCCAGCTTTGAAAAGCCAAGGTCAGAATAGTAAACATGGTTATTTGAATTGCAATAGCTAGCTCAAATATAAAAAGCAAAAAATGACTTGAATATTATTTAATACCAATAATGTTGCACTGCAAACACTGTTGGCAATTTTAGCTTGGTGAGGACAGCCTATATAACAATGGAGGTGTATATAAAATGTTAGGCTGGCTTTTAGCATCATCACGTGGACCAGCTAGCACCTCCTGTCAAGACATACTCTCCTGGTCCAACAGGGTAGACTTGCTCTCGGAATGGTTTCACTCTACAGGTAAAACCAATCCCCAAATAATCCTCAGCTGTGGGATCACTCTCAGGGCTTTTTGTCGATTCAGGGTCTGTTGACTTAAAGGCATTTTTTACAAAAACTGTCCTATTGCTGTAGCATCAGCAAGAATTTTAAGTCAGGAATTTTAAGTCAGGCTCCTCACTTAATTTCCTTTCGCTGATCAGCTTTCACACAGTGGCACACAGTGCCTCAGCTATGTTCAAATCCCTCCATATTGTGGCATATTATTATTTCGCCTTTTGTGCCCTTCGAACACAACTAAATGCAACCCGTTAGATTGAGCAGTAAACCACGTCAGTAAGTTACAGAAATGTCAGCGACTTTGTCATAAAGTTTGCGTTCATAGAACACAGTTTTCGGTAAATGCAAAAAAGAAGCATGCGGCAAAATGCAGATTTTGCAAAGTCTCCTTGACCGAGACAGCCGGGACTACCTCAACCTTCACCAGGCACCTAGAGCGCAAACACCCTCAAAGGTAAGCTAGCCATTAGCCATCTTTCCATCTTCAAACTCTTTTACCTACCTTTCCAACCTCAGATGACCAGGTCATGTTTATGTAATATTGTTATTTATAATGTGTTCTTCGCGCGGTATAAATTATTTAGGGACAGATTGTTTGCAACTGTCTCTGCAGACTTAACTTTTCTTGTGAAGATTGTAACTAATGTTACGGATTCAAATATTGGGAATGGATACAAAATAACAACACTGGTCCGGCCGGGTCAAGTCAAACGATGATTTAATGAACACACGCGTGGGAGATGGACACCATACAACAGACAGCATCAGATCTCAAAATGGTGGAGCCTTGATCAAACTCTTATAGCCTCTAGTGGCCCCCACCTAATCATCAGAGCCTAAACATTCTTTCTCACACACA